CCAAATGTTTTTAAGAATGCTGGTTTCCTACCTGCAAAGTAGATTACAAAAAGGCAAACGATATGTACGAAACCCGGACTGCTGAGAACTCTGGACAAAGCTTCTCTTTCTCTCTTCATTTTGGGTTTAGCTTTAGATCCTTCTCGCACCCAATTAGCATGTTTTGTCTACTCCAGGCACGTCTCTTAGTACGGCTTGGAGTTGTCCTGCTACCACTGAACTCTGCCAAGTCCTCTTTCAATAGACAGAGCTCTATGTGTTGTTGTGGAAGGGTGTTGTTGGATTTTATGTTTTTACCCTTTTTCTGTTCTTTGGGTCAGACCTAAGACTTGGTCAGCTTGGAGTCCTAGTGCCAAGGGATTAGCTAATCATATTTAAAAACAACACAGACTGTATTTCTAACTTTCAAAGGCAACATCACAGGAAAGTCCTGATTTAAAATTGTGGGGAGACCCGGAATCTAAACATTTCTGACCACTGCTGGTAGCAGATTTTGCCAATGCAGATTCCCCTAGATTTATGAGAATATATCCCCACAACCATTCCCAACCAGGATGAAGTTATATAGTCCCACGTGTACTGGGAAGTACAAGGATGAATCACACCAGAGAACGCTAGCCTCTAGCCTCTCTTGTATTTCAAAGGTACTTAATGCATGCCACATTGTATCAACAGTACATTTTTGTGGCCCAATCAATTGTGGCCCTACAAAATTGTGGCCCTGCAAAAGAGTCCCCCATTAGCGGGAGATGGGAGGAGATAACTTTAATAAATAAATAAAATAATACAGTATGTGACAAAAAAATTGATTGTTTTGCATTTTCTGGCATTAAAATGCAAGTGTGTTTGTTACAGCCACAGTTCTCTTTTCTACATAGTTTTTGCTGTTTTACAGCAAACCTGCCCCATCCAATCATATCAACAGGAAAGGAGGAGAATAATTATTTTTTCATGTAAAAAAAAGTGGAGATTTGCAAGAAATGTGGTTTTCCAACAAAGCCATCTCCTAATCGCACACGATGTATAAGACATTAGCTCATCTCCGTACTATTTATTTTGAAGATTTATATCCTGTCTTTCTTAGATTGGATTATCTTCAAGAAACATAATAGATGGCAATGCTCACATGTTCACACACCAGCTTCAAATCTCATTCAGCCTAGTAACTATTAAGTCCCCTTGAGCAATATTTATTTCTGTATTTAAAGATATCTATCTCGAGTGGGACTGCTAAAGACAAACTGCTGTGGCCCAGACTAAGGGCTCTAAAATCTTGTGAAGGAGAAAATAACACCAGCAGGGGCATTCCTTTGAGGTCGGCAATGCCTCCATATTCCCAACCTTGCCATTAAGTGATCCTTAAGTCAGTTCCTAATGCAACTCATCTCTCTTCCCACCCCCACCACAGAAAGCATATTTACCCATACACACAGTCAAAAACCCTTCATCTGCTAACATAGTTATTAACATTAACAGTTATTAACAGTTATTAACATGGCTGGCTGGGGAATTTTGGGAGTTGAAGTCCACATATCTTCAAGCTGCCAAGGTTGAGAAACACGTCTAACAGATAGGTGATACTGGAACATGCTTTAATTTCATTTCTGCAGCCACAGAGCAACTTTCTGTTAGAACTGAGTGCCATTTCTGGTAGAGAAAGGTGAAACAAGATCCCTGCAAGTTCTCCTTCTCCAGTCAATAATTGGGGGACAGGTTGGTTCACTTCTATGGGGAATAGGAACTATAGCCTCCCGTGGTTTGAGATGAGAGATCATTTTCTTTCTTTATTCCAATATCGGGCTAAGTTTTTTGAAACCCATTTTTAGTGACATACAAGTATGCCAGTATGACCCATCTTTGCTACTTAGATTGGGCCACAGAAATCTTACAGGGCTTCAGTATTTGGAGCCAGGAATTCATTAGCACACAAACCAAATTGCCAGTTCAATCATTTGTCATTTTTGACAAAGATCTCTCCTCTGAAATGAGCAAAATACACATGACACCACGGACCTTCCCCAAGTTGACATCATTCAGATCCTTCAGATGTGTTGGCCCAACACCTAGAATCTCTTTTCCCTTGCCCCCCACTTTCCAGCCAGCATGGTCACTGAAGTACAGAGAGGCAAGAGCTCTGTTTTCTAAAACACTTCCACACTTGCTACCATACTATATTTTTAAGAGGGCTGGAGAGGAAAATTCTTAAATACAAGAAGAGAAATATCAACCATAGTTAATTAAGTTTGTTTTAATTACATGTAAATGTAAAACAAATTAAGGTATCCTGGCTTCACCCATGTTTCTGTGGGGCCTCTGATATTCTATTCAAAGGCTGTTACTCAGACTGCAATGTTTTACACACATACCCCAGAACGAGGATGAGGAAAACTAGGTTTATCCTGGTCTTTATTTTGAAGGAATTAATTCAGGCTAAAAAAGTGGATTTGGCATAAGAAAAGATTATGCTCTCCAGCACTAACACCTATTTCCACATTCACTAGCGAATCAACTCTAGTTGTACCTTAAAAAGAAAATAATGTTCATGTGAGCAAAATAAAAACAGCTAGCTTGGAGAAGTTATTAGAAATAATATGTGCCAACTCCAGTCTTAGAAGTTTTGCAGTATCAAGCAATTGCAAACATAGTTAGCCACAGGATCACCTTAATATAGTTGTTTCCTCTCTTAAGCCTTTTCTATCTCCAGCTCTGGCTCTGTGGTTCTTAATCCTACATCTTCCTAAGGCCAGCATTCCAGGTTTGGGGTGCCAGTTAGACTCTTTTTATTGTCCCCAAACTTTTGAATAAGGCCTGGTTACCAGATAGTGCCAATGGCTGAAAAGAACCCAGCACTTTGATGATTGTGGGTTTGTTGCCGTTAATAAAATTCAATATTTACTGTTCAAGGGAAAATACCAATAGTTCAAAAATAGGGAAGGAAGGAAGGAAGAAATGTTCCTCATTTGACTTCTTACATTGTTTATTGCCTACATCTTCCAAACTATAGCATTAAATGCTGTTTCCTATGGGAATCTTTGCTTTTCCAGTACTCTACAGGCTGCTGAGCCCATTTCAATATGTTTTGATCTATGAGAGATTGTTTGTTTGGAGAAAGGCTGTTGTTTTTTGTTTTTTGTTTTAATTTTCTCCAGATGTTTTTGTAGAAACAACTTTCTCCAACCAAAATGCGCAACTGTGCCTCCATAGAGTCAGGAACATGGTCTTTAGCAAAGGAAGACAGTATCCCATTGAAAGCTGCATTCCAAGTGGCCTATCAATATTTTCTGTAAAGCATTTTTGATTATATAATGAACTGAACCCCCATAATGCTCATCCCACTCCCAGAACTGAGAAAGAAATCACATTGTACAAAGGGAAACACTGCACACGATGTAGCATAGCCTTACAGGATTACAATGAGCCTGCTTTCAGATGCTGGCTTCTCAAGGGAGAGAATTTGGCACGGTCACCTCTTATTTTGACACATCCCATAAGGATATTATGACGATAGAAAGGGTGGGGAGAACCAGATAACATAAATGGGTAGAAATACAGGATGTAAATACCGTAACTAAAGCTTTGGTTCAAATAATAAGAGTGCCTCTCAGCATGAACAAACGCCTTAAAATTATACCTTGATCTATGAGTTTAATCTGCTTAACTGCTGTTCTGCTAAAAGTGACCTAAAGTCATAACAAGATTGCCTCTGAATGGGAGCCAGTGCCTTAGAAATACCATGCTTTTTAGAAATATAGTTTTTTAAACTTCTGCTTATATTGATTTTTTTTAAAATCTTGTAGTTTATCTTTTTTTATTTATGTATTGTGATGCACACATATCATTCAGATTAAAAGTCTTTGATACATTCTGATCTGAGCTTGCTGATTTGTTGGGGATAAAATTAGGTTGGAAAGCATTTGGACAATTCCATGCTGTATTCAAAGGAGCACACCACCCTGCTTAAAGAGGAAATTGTTTAATCGGTATATATGATCTGTGGCGATAAACAGTTGCAAAACTGGGACGTTAAATAGAAAGCTGTGCAGAAGTTAAACGTTAGGCAAAGAGCACAATGTGACGAGAAAAGAAATATACGGATCTGCCAATAGGTAGGACCATGTCACATAATGAAGCGAAAGGTTCACGGAAATGGCAATGTGCTGGCCATATTGCCCAACTAAGAGATCAGCAGTGGACATCAATTCTCTATTGCAGGGTTCCTCCACCTCAGCAACTTTAAGATGGGTGGACTTCAACTCCCAGAATTCCCCAGCCAG